ATTCGGACAGTTCTACTTGACCGATACGATTCAAAGTTAGCACGTGGGTCAAGACATGAAGACAATGCAATCTGAAACTAAATTTGACTTAATTGGATGCCTAATTAATTTTTTATGAATTAATTAAAATTTGGACCGAATTAGTAGGCATGTCTAGCCAACCACACCACACGCGTCATCACCTTCAATAGCTGCGCCATCACGTAATGGCTGCGTTCAAAAACCATTGCGCGCCTACTGAACGTGATGTTCAGTAGGCGCGCAATGGTTTTTAGTCATGTAACTCTATTGTAAATAAAACATGTAAAGTACTGAAAAAAAAATTCATAAAAAACGTTTTAATAACAAGCTTTTATGTAATGATGCACTAAAAAGTAGAAAATAAATTATAGACTACTATTTAAATAACTATAAAGAAAAGCGTGGGTGTCTTCCTTAACATTAGTAAAGGTATCCAATAGATACTAAAGTGACCCACGCTTTTCTTTATAGTTATTTAAATAGTAGTCTATAATTTATTTTCTACTTTTTAGTGCATCATTACATAAAAGCTTGTTATTAAAACGTTTTTTATGAATTTTTTAGTCATGTAACTCTATTGTAAATAAAACATGTAAAGTGCTAAAACTTTTTCATAAAAAAATGTTTTAATAACAAGCTTTTATGTAATAATGCACTAAAAAGTAGAAAATAACTTATACACTACAATTTCAATAACTATAAAGAAAAGCGTGGGTCTCTTCCAAAACATTAGTAATGGTATCCAATATATACTAAAGTTATCCACGCTTTTCTTTATATTTATTTAAATAGTAGTGTATAATTTATTTTCTACTTTTTTAGTGCATTATTTCATAAAAGCTTGTTATTAAAACGTTTTTTAATGAAAATTTGAAACTTTATCTGATACTAGACCCAAGCGAGATTATTCTCAAAGGTATTCGAAAGGGCCATTAAATATTTAAAAATTCATGCGGAATGTAATTAAAATTAATACGGTTATAAATCCTGATTGGTTGTTTTTTGTGTGTTGTTGTTTTTTTAAAGATATGTTGTATTTGATGTTTTAGTATTTTCAGTAATTAAACAGAATTTAAAATAAAGGAAAAATCAATTTGGTTTTCACGTTGTTTATGGCGACAAAAACAATAACATTAGATAGGCTAGCATGCATTTTATTATAAATAAACCGGCAGTGATCTCCCCTAAACTTTCTCGAATATTCTTATATATAACAACAGGGGATGGGAACTCGGGATATAGGCTAGTTATGATTTTTAATCCATTTTAAATACTTAAACTTTTTAAAATAGAATAGAATCTCATAGAAAAAAGAATTGCGCACCAAGCGAACGCCGAATAAAGATGTGTATAATAGTGCGGAATATTATTAGTAATTTATAAATTCACATGCGTTTTTTGAGAAATCGGAAAGAGTGAAAATTACTACTTCCGGTCAAGGGAAATTACTCAAAATTTGACAGAAGGTATAAAATTAGATCTTTTACTTACGTGTGAAATTTCATTTATCTATCTGAAATAGTACTCAAGTTATAGGCTTTTGAAAAATTCAAAGTAGAAAAAGTATCACTTTCGGTTATCGGAAATCGCTCAAAAGTTCATACGGATCTACGATTTTGATAAAATATGAAATTTCATCAACCTAGCTGTAACGGTACTCAAGTTATCGTGTTTACACACACACAGACACACAGACACACACACACAGACAGACACACAGGCATACGGACAAGATTGCAAAATTATGTTTTTCCGTTTCAGTGAGTTGTAAAACGTCGAGATTTGTAAAAATCTCGATTTTTTTTTTCACGATTACAAGACTTCCTCTATACTTCTTATATACGAGAAAGTAAAAATGTACGCAAAATGGCAGAACTAAGACATGTGGTTAAAAATAGCATTATGTTATTTAAAAACTTTATCGGCAAAGTTGTGTAAACAAATAGCTATCGATCACGGTGTTCCTGTAAAGCCAATTAATGTTTGTCTTACGAAAGTGAAATTTCTGGATATAACTTAGGCTTGAGGAAGATAAATATAAATGTAGCCTTAAACTAAAAAAGTTATATTCAAGTTCTCTGGAGTTGCACCTTTTATAATATTGATTCTAAATATATACATTTCTGAATTTTTGGGCTTAAGTTTTAATTTTTTACTATTTTTGCGGCCCCTATAAAGTCAAAATATTTTTAAAAAATAAACCGGGAGTAATCTCCCCTAAACTTTCTTGAATATTCTAATATAACACTACGTGGGATGTCAACTCGGAATATAGACATGATTTTTGTTTACTTAAACTTTTAAAAATAGAATAAAATCTAGTAGAAAAAAAAATGCGCACCAAGCTAGCACCAAAACCAAATGTGCGTAATAGTGCGCAATATTATTAGTACTTTAAAAAATTACATTAGTTTTTTGAGAAATCGGAAGTAGCGTAAATTACTACTTCCGGTCAATGGAAATTACTCAAAATTTAACAGAAGGTAGAGAATTAGATCTTTTACTTACATGTGAAATTTCATTTATCTATCTGAAATAGTACTCAAGTTATAGGCTTTTGAAAAATTCAAAGTAGAAAAAGTACCACTTCCGGTTGTCGGAAATCGCTCAAAAGTTGATACGGATCTACGATTTTGATATAATACTTATATATGAAATTTCATCAACCTAGCTGTAACGGTACTCAAGTTATCGTGTTTACACACGGACACACACACAGACACACAGACACACACACACACACACAGACATACGGACAAGATTGCAAAATTATGTTTTTCCGTAAAAAAAACAAACAAAAAAGCAAACGAAAACAAAAACCTAACAACAAACCCAACCACAAACACCAATACCAACAAAAAAAAACAAACGAAAAAGCAAACGAAAACAAACCAAATCCAAACGCAAAACCAACCAAAAACACAAATACAAACCCAAACAAAAAAACACAAACAAAAACGAAAAAAGAAAGAACAAAAACGAACCAAATCAAAACGCAACCACTAACGCAAACCCACCTAAACACAAAGAAAACACTAACGCGAACATAAACGCCCGGGGCGGAATCACCTGTTTTAGCTTAATGAACGACTATAGTACCCCAACTTATTCATAGTCTTTTGCACTCACTTAAACGAAAGCGCCTGTTTCAATTTGATGAACAATTATAATACTCCAAGCTTATCCGTAAAATACCTACAACATTTGCACTTGATCAATCCCCGCTAATTATGTAATTATTTTTTTTCCCCAACACCAAAACAAAGTAATTAATAAAATACTTAAAAAAAACTTTTTAAAAAACCACGTTTTTCTTGTGGACTAAAAAGTAGAAAATAAATTTTCATACATTTGATGACAAAAAACGTGGGTACGTTCACCATCAAATTTCCCGACCCATCTGCCCGACCCACGTTTTTTGTCATCAAATGTATGAAAATTTATTTTCTACTTTTTAGTCCACAAGAAAAACGTGGTTTTTTAAAAAGTTTTTTTTAAGTATTTTATTTTCTCCTTTTTAGTCCGTTGCTACACATGAAAAACGTGGTTTTTAAAAAAGTTTTTTATATAGTTTATTTTCTACTTTATCTAATGACTTGATTAAGTATGACTTGACTAAGTGCTTATAAATACACGGACTAAAAATCTTGAGCGACCAGGATTCGAACCTGGGTTGTCGCGGCCACAACGCGAAGTACTAACCGCTATACGATCACGGCCAGCGCGCTCACATCGATTGGGGCCGAAGTAACTGTGTCAATAGGCCTCCAGTCTTGTCGGTATCTTTAGAAATCATGTCCTCAATTTTATGGTCCTTGGGGCGTAATTAAATTAAGCTAATTACGGTCTCTAATTGCTAGTTTTTATGATTGCATCTGAAATTGTTAGGCGAAAGTAGCCTACATGCCAAATTTCAGATCTCTAGAGCAATCAGAAGTGGGCTAATTTTCGATGTCAATTTTAACAACAAACATCCAAACAAACAAACAAACGCGAAGCTGAGTTAAGAAAAACGTGTTAAAAAGTAAATTCTTTTCCACAAAATGCAATGGTTTTATAAAGGGAAGTAATTGTGTTTTCCTAATTTATCAAAGGGAAGTAAGTTCTATAGGACTAAATAAAGACATAATTAGAATTTTTGTAAAAGATGATATTTTTTTAAAACTTGTGTTTAATGAACATGCCGACAATTATTACTTTAATTTGAAAAATGAAAATTATTTCCCAACACTTTCAATAGTAATTTTTTAACTCATAAATTTAGACAAATGCGCACGATAATTGTCTAACACTTAAATCCATTCAAGACCAACGACAAACATATGCGTTACATACAGAACTGAGCTTTATATATTATATATATTATATATATATATATATATATATATATATATATATATATATATATATATATAAGAGTTGGGCAATAATAGATTGAAGAGGCTTCAAGGATAACTTGTAAGATGACATGTGAGATGACATGTGAGATAAAATTTCAGATGACATGTGATGTGACCCATATAAACGTTCTCACCATTTACTTGGATGATTTTCATGGCGCGCACACAATATTTTTTTATTTTCGTACCTGCCCTTTATTATGGTGATTACTAAAGACATAGTTTTAATATCTTTACTAATAATGGCGGATTATATGGACCGGCTACTCATAATCTATGTAATTAATATAGCTAGAAGTGTACTATTCTAACGACGGTTGTATTTATTGGTCGCTGGTGGGGGGGGGGCAGTAGAATTTAGTAGAAACAAAAAGTTAAAAAATTATATGAAAGTGCTTGCATGTTTGCGTTTTATCAGTAGACACTTCGTGAGTAATTGCAAAACGGATCTCACATTCAAACTCGAAATAGAATAGTTGACAAAAACTTGGTATTAATTAATCGACTATTTTATTTTATTTTTTCAAGTAGTATTTTAAAACCAGATTTCCAATGCGGATATGGTTTGGTTTTAGTCTACTACTCAAGACTAAAATACACTGGGTAGTGATCGCTGATGAGGGCGGCTTGAGAAGGGGTCCACGCGGAACTGTAGACACCGGCATTGGAGGCGATGACGTCAGTTCCGGCTTGAATGACCACCCTGTCGTAAGCGCAGTCCGTGGTGGTGGCCGTGGTGGTGTCGGCAGTGTGCGGGATCAGGCTGCGATAGGCAGGGGAGGTAAACACTTCCAGGTTGGATAACTCCGTGCTGCTGACGTAAGCACAGTCGGCGTTAAAGTCACCCATGGTGATAACCCCCGAGTTGACTGGGTACTGGGTTTTGGCTGATGCCATGACAACCGGGAGTGCCTAAAATATAAGTGAAATAAAATATCAATAATACAACGTAAAGCAATCTTATTTGAATTATTTATCTTAAATAAACGTTCAATACAACGTTTCTGCTTAATATCTACGTAAGTCTAGTTAGAACTTTAAAATAGATCAAGAATTTCAGCACATTTTAAATGAGAATTTATTATCTCCAAATTATTTTAATTTTTGTATGCTTATAGGCCAATAATCTTTGAGTTTTTTAAATGATAAAACAATCTAGAACTAGACTAAAAAATTAAAATTAAAACATTTACCTGACATAAATAGCAAAAAAAAAATTAATTAATTGTACAAATATTGTTATGAAATACCTGAATCTCCTGATAAGCCTGGGTAGGTTGAGTGTGGGCTCCCAACAAAATAATCTTAACGCCGCGGCTCAGGGCTGCTGAATAGTACTGCAGGTACAGCCCAAACGGCTCTCTCTCGAACACGTCCTGGGCGGTATCGTTGTACTGGAAGGTGCCGAGGACGCTGATGGAGGATATTCTGTAGAAGAAAACGTACTGCTCCTTGTAGGAAGTCGTCCTGCCCAGTGGGATGCTGGACACGTAGTTCCAGTCCGCAGAACCCAGGCGAGATTTCAGGTTCTCCAAGGAAGAGAAATCCTTGTCTCGGACTTCTTGGATCAGCACCACGTCAAACTGGGACAAGATGGCTGCGATGGAGCTCCCCACGTCGGCCATTTTGGCATCGCCGAAACTTTTGATGTTGTAGGCTGCTATTTTTAGCTGTCGGTTTGTCGTCGCTCCCTCTGCGGAGTATGCAATAACAGTCATGATGGTAAAAATGTAGCTGGCTTGTGGTAGCATTCTCGTGAGTTTCAATTCAGAGTTGGGGGATCTGGATTGTGTAAATCGTCCAAATAGACACAGCTCTGCTACTGTCTATGAGCATTCTCTTTCCGGGGATTTTATAGGCTACGACTTGAGATTATCCGTGGTTTTATTTTCAAAAGGCAATTCCCGGATAATAAAAGGTGCAATATCACGCACAATAATCAAAGCCGATTCACGCACGCTCCGAATCGCTTGAATTAATATTTGTGTGATGAGTATTTATTGAATCTGTTTTATGTTGTGTTTTGTGTTTTGTCGTACAGTAAACGTACGAATAGCTGTGGTCCTTGAATTTTTTTTTCGTTAGTAAAAAATTCCAAATTTAGAAATATTATTAATTCCTATTTGCATTGAATAAAAAAAACACTAAGCTAAACATTCAAAAGTAATGCTGAAATATTGGCGAAAATGTATATTTGAAAGTTTGGAATAAAAATAATGTCAGGTAAAGAAGAAGTTTACATCGAGGCTAGATTCAAAACAACTAATTAGAAACCGGAGTAAGTAATAAATGTATTTCGTACTAATGAGTTTTTGCCCAGTTTTAGTTGCTGTAGTAAACTAAGGTTTATACCAGGGGTCTCCAAACTACGAAGTCCTCTCATCCGGCCCGCGGAGATCTTTTTGTCCAAAGAAAAACATTTTTTGGTGATGGCTGAGGAACTTTGCCCAGAAAAATCAAAGACATGCCTGGAAGAAACTGGCCCCCGAACTGAAATTTAATAGTTAATGCGGCCCACAGACTGAAACGTTTGGAGACCCCTGGTTTATACAATACTAGCCGTCCCGGTCAGGCCTTCCACTGGCATTTGTGAAAACCTATCTTTAAACGACCATGACTTGTGTGTTTAGTAAGCAGCATATAACTGGCATTGACGTTTGACAAAAGAACACATAACCCTAAACCGAACTCTAACTTAAAACTTAACACTAACCTCAACCAACCAAAACCAAAACACAAAAACAAACGCAAACTTAACGCAAACAAAAAAGCAAATGGAAACCCGAATACAAACACAATTCCAAGCACAAAAACGCAAACACAAACATAAACGCAAACACAAAAGCAAACACAAACACATAAACAAACACAAACGAAAACATAAACACAAACAAAACACAAACACAAACAGAAATGCAAACACAAACTCCAACGCAAACACAAACACAAACGCAAATGGAAATACAAATGCTAATAATTAGGCAAACGTAAACCTAAACGTAAACAATAACGCAGAACATAAACTCAAATTTAAATGCAAACATAAACTCATAGAGCTTACATTATAGACGGGGCGCCAAACCCCACTCTGCCCAAATCCCATTGACTATAATACCCCACCTTATCATAAGTCTATTGAACTCACTAAACCGAACGTAGGCTCCATAGAGTTGACGGGAAGGCCCGGGGCGCCAAATAGCAACCTGTCGGGGCGCCAGAGGACGCCACGGATTCGACTTAGTGAACGACTATAGTAACCATTTTCATTCACAGCCTATCACACTCTTTAAACGAATGTGTGCAACATAGCGTTTGTATAAGTGAGTCCAAAAGACTATTATTAAGTTAGGGTACTAAAGTCGGTTACTAAGTTGAATCAGGTGGTTCAGCCGGTGCGATTTTGCGTGTATGTTTGCGTTTGTGTTTTCTTTGTGTTTGGGTTTAGGTTTGCGTTTGTAGTTAGTTTTGTGTTTTTCTGATTTGTGTTTTTTTTTCGTTTGCTTTTTTTGTTTGCTTTTGTGTTTGTGTGTTCTTTGTGTATGTATTTGTGGTTGGGTTTGTGTCATGTTTGCGTTTTTGTTTATCACCGTTAGGTTTAATTCGAAAAGTAATATATTTCCTAAACTCGGGTATTGCCGGATATATGCCGATTACTAAACACGCATGTCATGGTCCTTTACAAATAGGTTTTTCACAGAGGCCAGTGCAGGGCCTGGCCGAGACCGGCAGTATATATATATATATATATATATATATATATATAGAGAGAGAGAGAGAGAGAGAGAGAGAGAGAGAGAGAGAGAGAGAGAGAGAGACGGAATCCGTTTGAGCTTTATATATTAGATGAAATATTATTACATTAATAATTATAGCACCGCTTTTGCATGGAATTAGAAATTAATATAACGACACTTTTCATAGAGAATTAAAGTTAAATAACGGAAGTTTTTTAAAAGATGTATCGCTTGCACATTAATTAATTTATATGTACAACAGAATTAAATCCGGCAGCACTAGGCCTACGTGTTTGATGCTGTTTATTTTCGTAATATTCTTATCCGAGCATTAATTCAGCGGCGTCACTAGGGCTGGTGTCACCCCTGATGGTGACACCATGCACCCATTGTCTTTAACTTGTAAGGTAACTAACACTATCTGTTTTATTACTAATTGTATTAACCTCACTGCAGCTACCATTTGTATTTACCATGTACCCAAAGAAGTGTTCAACTTTAAATAGACGAATCTACATTTGTATTGTAAAATCAGCATTCTGTCAACCGGGGAACCCACGTCATCTCCCTATGACCCATCTGCACTTGACCATAACGATAGGATAGTCCTTAACCCATTTCTATTTTTTTTTAAACAGAAAAAAATGTGGCCAGCCTTATTGTCCAGTTGGCAATTTAATTACATTCTTTACATCTGTATACCACTCATATGATATCAGCATTCGTGAGTGGAAACAACACAAATAATACAATTCTTTGTGTTGCATCTCTTTAAAAAGGTTCAGCGTCCGTGAACAGAATAGACTAATGAGCACTAAACCATCAAACGAAACACGTGACCCAGTGTGCTAGACAGGTGTCTAAACAACTGTGCACAAGTGCACAAAGGCCAGGTATATGTAAGGCCACACGCATCAGAGAAATGCTATGCTGGGTTGATTTCAAAGACTTCCACTTGCGACGTGTCAAAATTGGTTAAGCAGAAACGCAATTTGTAGTCAAAGCATATTTCAATCAAAATACCCAACCACACGATAAGGGCCTATCTGAAATTACTTTCGAACAAAACTCATCAACCAAAGAAAAAGCGTATAAAATTAGATTCGAACAAAAACCTCCAACTTCACAGATGACACACACACGCACATACACACACAAACACACACACACACACACACACACATATATATATATATATATATATATATATATATATATATATATATATATATATATATATATATATATATATATATATATATGTGTGTGTGTGTGTGTTTGTGTGTAATTTAAATAAAAAGAACTAACCAAAACTGACACTACAAGAGCTATTAAACCAAAACTGCATTACACCTTATTTATCCCATTTATATTGATAACATAAGGATTTCATCTTGGAATCCACGCATTGATCCATTGTTAAAATTATATCGTGTCTTGACAAAATACAAAAGTATTGATTTGGACCTGATGATGTTCATGGTATTGTAAGAACAGTGGTCTATTGATATGGTCAGATGCCTTGATTGTGTCGCCGGTGGGTGGGATGGTGTAAATCACCTTTCTGGAAGGAGATTCCTGTACTGTAATGGGAAAACAAAATATAAAATTCCGTTGATATGGCACCACGTAGAGTCTCGTATCCAATACATACAAGCAAGCTACAACCTGGGTGGACGTAGGGGCGGAACTACCATGCTGCCACACCACGCACGCACCGGGAGTGGGGGGGGGGTGGGGTCCAGGCCACTTTGGGGGAACACAGCCGACCATAATTAATATTTTTTTAAATTTTAAACTTCGTGTTCGTGCATTTTGGACTTGGTGTTTGGTTTGTAAAAAAAAATACTGTAGCTGCGGTACGATTTTCTTTATTTTAAAGTCCCTATAGCACGCTCTTCCGAAAACATTAAAACCGCTACACAAACTAAAGTGTAAAAGATATAATTATAGAGAACATAGTACTTGTAATTTCGGTTTTATATAAGTTTACTTGATTTTGCTTTTACAGGAAATGGGATCGTAAACTTGTAATGTATACTTTGAATTATCTCCATTGAGTAAGTTTTTTTTTAATAGCTTTGGGAAATGTAGCAGTGACCATCCTAAATTCGGTAGTATTAATGTTCATCGGCACTTTTGTTGTACCTTTCAAGTTTCTTTCCGAGCCGACCCCCATCTCACCCCTCTTTCTTAACATCGCAAGTATCGAATAGATAAATGTATCGTTTGTGAACTTTCTAACCGTGCATTCACCACTTCAGCACATTTTGTCAGACACTAGCAAGCACTGGTCAGCAGATTTCAATTTACTTGCATAGTAAAAACATGGTAGGTCAGATTATTTTTTATATTATTAAGAAAAGGTTATTTATTACTAAATGAACTAATTGAATTTTATGTATAGTCAATTACTATTAATAAATGACGTAATTAAGAAGAGAGGGTGAGGGTCTGGCTTTCTGTAAATCGTTTTAAAAAGCGTGACGTCATTTGTGGATGGCCCGTAAATCAAGTGTATGTGTGTAAAATATGTTTCTGTCTTTTATACATTACTACGCCATCCATCTGATCACCATGAAAGTTTGGGAAGCTGTTGAGTACAGCTCCGCAAGGTTTCTGTCATAGGCTTAACATTTGTTTACATATTGGAGTGGCGGTGCTTTAGCGCCCCGACATCCCCAGTGGCTATCTTATTGTGTGTCCTGTACAGGACCAACAGGACTACTACCTGAATCCACGGCGGCAGAGCAATCCGGAGCGCATCACACATGAGCAGTTTAGCCCCTACATTTGTTTAAAAGTGAACACTACACTAGGGATGAGTCTCGCTACTACATTCGATGACTAAATCTAAACATTGGTTGCGCCAATCACCCTTGAAGAAATGTAACCGATATGGCCCCAAGAGCCACGCGACTTCCCTGACGACTGGGCCGTGGCGGCGGGATGATCAGCGTATACTGAAGCTTACAGCATGCACTGGAGGTCTCGTTGGTAGTGTGGACAAACCAGCGCCCCAACAACTAAGATCCAAGAAATGAACCGCCGAAACTGTTCACATTTAATTAATCTTCTGGAAAACAAGGCACACGTCTAAAAATACACGATTGGTAACATTTTGATGAAAACCTCACACAAATGTGCGTCGGTTTGGTGTGTTGGACTAGGTTTGGAGAGCAGAGTTTCTTCCAGGCATCTCTTCGGGGGAGACCCCCCCCCCCCCCGAACTAAATGAAATTTATATAGAAAATATATATTTTTTTAACAGTGTCCGCCCACAGACAGACTGACGACAGACTGACGACCGACTGACGACAGACTGACGACAGACTGACGACAGACTGACGACAGACTGACGACAGACTGACGACAGACTGACGACGAAGTGAGTTAAATAAAAGCTTGTAAAAAACAATGTAACAAAATACTCGAACGGTAGAATTTTTAATATATAGTTTTTAAAAATTAGTCAGCTATCTTTTGACATGGCCGAAGTAGCACAAAGGTCAACTTCAAGGTACTGGTCTCCAGCTTACTTTCAGCTTGGGGATATCTAGAGCACGGGGTCCACTTTAAATAGCTAAGAAGATTTAGCCGTTAAAGGTCCTGAGTGAAGCTAATAGATAGACAAGCGTCCAAGTAAAGAGGTGACAAGTATCAATCTGTTAATGCCTCTTATGAATCCTCAACATGGAAATTGGACTTTCCTTGTTGAAAACGCACGCGGCCCAGTTCGACACGTGCCTCCAGATAACTGACGAGTGTCCACGTGACACCCAGGTATATATGCGCACTCTACATATATAATAGGTACACAAGCGTACGTTCGCGTGAGCAACATGTTTTCGGTTCATCATTGTCAAAGGCAGTGGCGTAGCGAGGTCGGGTGTCACCCGGTGCGGCACTTAATGGTGTCACCCCCCCAGAGGCGCAGCGACCCTTCCCGGCGACACATTTTCCCCCTCAAACTTTCGATTTGCACCCCCCCCCCCTCACGTTTTCGATTTGCACCCCCCCCCCCTCTCAAACTTTCGATTTGCACCCCCCACCCCTCACGTTTTTCTCTATATATTTTGCTATTTTTTTCCTTGGTGTCACCCCCCTAAATGGTGTCACCCGGTGCGGTAAGCACCCCCCGCCCCCCCTCGCTACGCCCCTGGTCAAAGGTATTTGAGAGGCCCACTAAATATTTAAAAATCATGCGTGATGTAACTAAAATTAATACGGTTATAAAAATTCATCCTGATTTATTTATTGGTCTTTTTTATGTTTTAGTATTTTCAGTAATTAAACAGAATTTAAAATAGAGGCAAAAGCAATTTGGTTTTCACGTTGTTAAAGGCAACATAAACAATAACATTCGATAGGCTAATATGCATTTTATTGTACAAAATTAAAGCAAAATGGCAGAACTAGGACATGTTAAAAATAGCATTATGTTATTTAAAAACTTTATCTGCAAAGTTTTGTAAACAAATAGCTATCGATCACGGTGTTTCTGTAACGCTAATCAATGTTTGTTTTACGAAAGTGAAATTTCTAAATATAACTTAGGCTTAAAGAAGATAAATATGAATGTATCGTTAAACTCAAAAAATTATATTCAAGTTCTCTGGAGTTGCACATTTTATAAGATTGATTCTAAAAATATAAATTTTTAAATTGTTTTAAGGCTTAAGTTTTTATTTCTTTAATTTACTATTTTTACTTTCTCGTATATGCGAAGTATACAAAAAGTCTTGTAATCGTGGGAAAAAAAGAGATTTTTACAAATCTCGACGTTTTAAACCTCACTGATACGGAAAAACATAATTTTGCAATCTTGTCCGTATGTCTGTGTGTGTGTCTCTGTGTGTGTGTGTGTGTGTGTGTGTGTGTGTGTGTGTGTGTGTGTGTGTGTGTGTAAATCAGTGAGGTGTAAAGCGATTACTAGACTTTCTCTATACTTCGTATATACGAGAAAGTAAAAAACCTATGTGTCCACAAGAACTCGAGTAAAAAAAATAGTACGGCAGTTGTTATCCATATATATATATATATATATATATATATATATATATATATATATATATATATATATATATATATATATATATATATATATATATATATATATATATATATATATATATATATATATATATATATATATATATATATATACATATATATATATATATACATATATATATATATATATATATATATATATATATATATATATATATATATATAAGAAAACAAGGAGACTTATACAGTAGCAACACACATTATGTGGTGGCGCCGGCATTGAGTCAACAACCTCACTGAAAAAAGTCGTAATAGAAAAAAGCGTACTTAGATAGTTACTCCACAAACGCTTTGTAAAGTATCTTTATTTTTTCACAGACAGAATGCAAAAACCAAAAAGTCTTAAGATTAGTTCAATCGAAAAGATATCGGGTAATGGTCACTAATGGTAGCGGCGACTTCAGCTGTGGTACCAGAAGTAAACACCCCGGCCTGGTCAGCGATGACGTCAGTTCCGGCTTGAATGACCACCCTGTCGTAAGCGCAGTCCGTGGTGGTGGCCGTGGTCGTGTCGGCCGTGTGCGGGATCAGGCTGCGATAGGCAGGGGAGGTAAACACTTCCAGGTTGGATAACTCTGTGCTGCTGACGTAAGCACAGTCGGCGTTAAAGTCACCCATGGCTATAACCCCCGAGCTGGCTGGGTACTGGGTTTTGGCTGAGGCCATAACAACCGGAAGAGCCTAAAAAATCAGAACAATAATGATTAAATATCCTAGTGCATATTGAATGCTTTTCATTGTCTTTTACTAATATATATATATATATATATATATATATATATATATATATATATATATATATATATATATATATATATATATATATATATATGTATGTATAATTTATTAAAAGTTGACCTATGACATGTTTGGGTACCAGTTTTATCACAAGAGCTATTAAGTACGTTATTTGTAATACAAAAAATTAACGAATATATATTTATGAAACCGCATTGAAATTCTACATTCTACAAAAGAAAAGAAAATAATATGTAGAACTAATTTTAAAAATTGGCACGTATTCTTTTATAAAGACGCATTTGGAAAGTTGAGTTAGGGATATACGTAAACTTGTTGTGTATAAAGGCACTTTCAATCCCAATTTAGTTTTTCTTTCTCAACAATTTAGATTTCGATTGTTCTTTATGAAAGTGCTATATAATAAGATTGTATAAATGTAGATGACATTACAGGAATGGTAATAAAATGGACTCACACGAAAAAAGAAAACAGGGAAGGTCAAGGGAGGCGCACAGCGGGGAAGCAACTGGCAATGGCAAAACTGTCATGGGGGACTGCCAGGAAAATTATCGGAGACCGACAAAATGGGAGGGAGCTTTCTGTGGTGGCTCTATGTGTCTTGGGCACAAAAAGGAAAAGATGATACAATACAATTGTAGCGGATTAAAATCGCTCTAAAACTTACCTGCAGTTCAGCGACAGCATTCTCAGGTTGCGTGTGGACGCCCAGGACAACGACCCCCACTTTATGACTGGCAGCGGGGGAGTAGTACTCAATCATCAGCCCAAAGGGATCCCGCTCAAACACGTCCCCCAGGGTGTCGTTGTACTGGAAACTCCCCAAAACATTGATGGAAGATTTTCTGTAGAAAAACACATACTGCTCTTGATAGTAAGGCGATCGACCAATCGGCGAGCTCGATACATAATCCCATAGGTCTGAGCCTAGTAATGTTTTCAACGCGTCTAAGGCGGAGAGATCTTTATCTCGAACTTCCTGCACGAGAACAACGTCGAAGTTGGCGAGAATGCTCGAGATTTGGTTGCCAACGTCAGCCATTTTGGCGTCCCCGAAACCTTTGATGTTAAAAGCGGCAACTTTTAGAGGGCTGCGCTTTGTGATTGCCGAGCGGGCTATGTCTAAGCTCAGTAAAATAAGGAACGCGACTACGTTCAATTTCAACATTTTAAAATACTTCTTTAGTCACTTGAGAGAAAAATTACAGTACAATTATTTTAGGTAACGGACCTAAACTTTTCTCATTGCGAAAATCGCGTGTAAAGAACGATGAGAAAATGAGTGTGCTTAATATAGTATTCTTGAGCTGATTACGTCATACATCTTTGTGTATACATGACTTAATACTCGATTGGGTCACCTTTGTAAGCAAATAAAGTAATATCTTATTTCGGTAAATAATATTCCGGTTGTCAGGGGCGTGGGTAGTGGGGTGTTAATAAGGGAGGGCTAGGACCTCCCCTTGACCACAGAATATATGGGATTTTATAAAGCACCCCCCCCCCCCAATACAAAGTCTTGCCTACACCACTGTCAGTCCCACCTGAATTGTGGATGTAAAACAAACCATAATCGATGGTTGCTGTTTAAATAAAGCCAAACGGACTTATCAGCTGGGTTAAAGGTTATTCGGGGTCATTTATGTCAGGGCGCTTTCTACGATCTTAAAGTTGACGTTGAAGTTCAGTCGATCACTTACTTAACCGCCAAAACAACTTAAAACCTTAATCAACCTCTCAACTAATCTTGACGTTCATGTGTATTATAACTAATTCAATTTCTTCAGTGAAAATCAATCTCTTAATTATGAGACTCAGTTGTCAATGTGTAGAGCAGGGGTTCCCAACCTTTTTTTACTCTAGAGCACATTCTAAAATATCTGTAGGGTGGCGGGCACCACCTATTTTAAATCGACACACTCCTTTCATAACTTGTCATTTTCCCATAATTTATTTTCTTATTTTCTTATAGTCATAGTGTATTAATAAATAATAAGCAATAATGTTTCAAAATAATAAAATTATTTGGCATTTTTTTCAAATTGCATACACACAGAGAAATGTATTTACAAAACGTAAATAGTGCAGTCTGGCTCGCCGCTAGACAAGTATCGAACATATTTAATAACCCTAGGCAGTCAAAAAAAAAACTGTAACAAATGAATAAAAATAAATCATATTTTAAAATAATGTTTATGAAAAAAATTCTGTCTCTGTCGAATAGTGAGAGGCGGGCACATACGAATCGTTCAGCGGGCACAGAGTTGGGAACCCCTGGTGTAGAGGACAACTGACTTCAAAAAATCAATACTATTCAATATATATTTATCGAGATTCGATTTAAGTTTACTAGACACATCAGATTTTGTGACTAAACAAAGCATAACTACCAATAACTTTAAGACCAAACGGTTTATTCAATAGAATGTAAACGTTAAAACCATCTATTTTATTTTCTTTCTTAACAATTCTTCGCTTCTTTAACAAAGGGATTGAACTCCTGATGGTAAAATAAATAAGTATAGGATATGTCACCCCCCCCCCCTTCCAAATGTAGTTTTCTTTAACTGAATTTAATTTATTTTTAGCTACGTTAACTGATTCTTTTAATGAAAGTGGATAATTTACCGTGTCAAATATAACTTCAAATTTGTAGCAGTATTTTAGTTGCTTTGTTAGTTGTACATTGAGAGGGCATAGGCATTCAATGGGGGAGGGGGCAGGATTTCTTTTATACATTTATCTCCGGGAGGGGAATAGCACTTTGAACCTCCATAGGTAGGTGCATTTTAAATGTTCGGCGGGGGGGGGGGGGGAGGGGGATGAGGCGGACACTGGCTATAATATATATTTTTATTTAAAAATAATTCAGGGGGTGTCAGTGCCCCAGAAACTCAGAAAGGGGGAGTGTTGCTAATACCCCCAGCATCTACCCGGGTAGTCTACTCAGTGAGGTTGGGTAATTCTAATTATGTCACCAGAATCTAAGAGCTTAGCTCCTTGACTGACCATTAGGTCTTGAGCTCAGATCTCTGAGTTCCATACCACTTGTGAGTCGTCCTCATGCATAAAATGTTATCTAATAAATTACCTCTCAGCTTACTAACAATAAGCAACATTGTTGTATCCGTTCACTTTGGTAATTTTATAACGTAACGATCTGGTCCAGCTGTCGTATTCAGTTATTCGCTGTGTGCATACAGGGGTGGGGGTGGGGGTATAACGAATCAGCCAGTTGTTCTTAATTGATTACCCTAATTACATACACACTGACACACTTTCACACACATACACACAACCACATTTAAGTATACGCATATACACAAGCACACACACATACCAACTTAAACAAAAGAACACAATAACCACACAAACATACAAATACAAGCATACGCCCATTCACATAAACAGAAACACACGAATATTCAAACTACACACATCACATCACGTCAATAAAACATGACACAACACGCAAAGGTAAAAAGGTCGGGCACATATGTCAGGCTGTACGCTTGATTGATTTTCATATATTTTTTTCTTCATTCAAGGAACACAGCTGGTACGACAACACACACACACACACACACGCAGAACACACGCAGAACACACTTACACACACGCCCAACACGTCAGTGTTACGTGTGAATTGTTCCTTACTAACTAGTGGATTCTCTTGTCTAATGTTGGGGAAATCTTGATGTGTGGCAAAGCAGCACTCATTTATGGTAAGACAAAACTTAAATAGTTTTGGATTTTAACACACAACCACACACCCACCCCCATATATATATATATATATATATATATATATATATATATATATATATATATATATATATATATATATATATATATATATATAACTATATATATATATACATTTATTTATAGAGATATAGATAGATATGTAGATATTTAGCTATAGATCTATAAATAGCTTTGTCAGTCCCAAGGAATTCCCCACGAAACGTTACACGGATGCTGAAACCCGGATCGTCGTCACATGACCTGTGTGTTTACATTTTGTTACTTAAGTCATACCGTACTATTGGGTTCATTCATTGGGTCGTGTGTATTTATTTTTTTTCCTCGCGCCCGACAAAACTAAGTGTCCAGATAAACAGATTGGATATCCAGGTCAGTTACCTGTGTACGGTGTGTAGTTGATGATGTTACGCGTGTGTGCGTGTGACCTACTGTAACACGAGGCACGTGACATTTTGCCGAAATACCAATGGGTGTGTTATAGCAAAAGCTATTCTGTGTTAACTTGAATACCAGAGGCACTCGTTTAAGTCATTATTAGCAAAATAGCTATTGTTGCTTTCCGCTGTAGGCCTATATATATATATATATATATATATATATATATATATATATATATATAGGCCTATATATATATATATATATATATGTGTGTGTGTGTGTGTTTTTATATGTGTATGTGTATGTTTTGTCTGTTTGTATAAATGTTTATGTGTTGTTGTTGTATCGAAATGGGTTCAGAAAGTACTTCATAACGATGGGTGATGGGGTGCAGTGGCATTCAGCTTAGCAGCTATTTTCACCGTTAACGTTTTGCTAAGCCTATCAAACAAGCCTGGTTAATACCTTATTTCATTATTACATTTTACGAACGGTCTATTGTAGGGACCATAGCCGCGGACAAAGTGTCTTTAGATAAAACATCAAAGTCTTTTAGGCGATCACTGCAGGTCAGGGTAGAACGGTATGGAAACAACGACATACATCAACTAGACTAAAAGTTTGACTCACACCCTCTTGTACATCTGAACAACGGGAACAGCTTGTTATTCTTTAATACAGCCTTTAATTAAATTTATGATATTGATGCTTTGTGTTGTATGTGTCAGAATTTTTACCTCCCCTGACAGCTGTCTTTAGCATGTTGAATTTGTTTCAAGTCGAATATTGCTAATTAGACGTGTAGCAGATGTGATCTAACATCACTCGTTTCGGTAATTGATGCTTAGGTTAAGACTGTTCATTTCAATGTGGTCTGAATGATTGTGGTCCATTGAGTGCTTGGTGGATTGTGATCGATGACTGCTTGGGTGAGTCCATTAATTACTTGTCGGTGTGATTGTGGTCGAACAATACTGGGTGATTATGGTCCCACAAATGCTTGGGTGATTGTGACCTTGCAATACCTGGGTGATTGTGGTCCAAAACTACCTGGGTGATTGTGGTACAACAAATGTTTAGGTGATTCTGGTCTTGCTATACTTGGGTGAATGTGGTCTTGCTATGCTTGGAATGATGGTGGTATATTTATACTTGATATAAACATCATTAGGCACTGGGTGACACCATCGGGAAAGGGGTGACACCAAACTGCTGATATTTTAGCTATATCATACATGTAGCCATCAGCGGAGTCTTGACATTCTGGGTTTTACACGACCTAGTGACGCCACTTGTACCCGACCTAGTGACGCAGTGGTACCCACCTAGTGATGCCAATGATACCAGACCTAGTCAGAGAGATTATAACGTTTAAAAGAAGTTCTAGTAAAATTTTCAATTTAGGGTTTTGCGAGAAAATATGGGGATTCTATCAATATTATTTCACCCTCGCCTCACCACCATCACGTTCACCGCGATTGAAACACATCTTGGCAAGTCGAGACATCATTACAGGATGTTAAATTATGGGAGTTAATGAAAGGCTAGGTATAAGTACAGGATATAAAATTGTGGGATTTAATGGCTAAACTACATGTTGTTTAATTTTAGGAGTTAATGAAAGAATAGGTATAAATACAGGATGTTCAATTATGTGAATTAATGGAGGGCAAAATTTAATTAGCGGGAACATGGGAAATTTATTTTTCTAAAAATACTCGGAAAGTCAACAGTAATCGTTGTTGGTTAGTGAGGATAATTTATGGTAGTCGATACTATTAAGATAAGGTGGATTACTAGTAGATACAAAACGGTAGAATGAAGCTAGTCGATACTGGATGATGCTTGTATATTACTAGTAGTTGAT